TCATTGTTTCCAACAATTTCATTCCCATTCCTCCTTCCTCCTTAGCCTTACATAATGTATCCCATGCTATGACATGCCATCTTCTCCTACCATCTTGCTTACCCCAAATGAATCTACGCTGCTCCCTTTCTAATTTTTCTACTATCCCTTTTGGTGTTTTATCATGTTGCATTGTGTAGAAAGGGATTGTGCTTGTTACAGTTTTGGCCAAAGTCATTCTTCCTGCCAATGATAAGCTCGCCACCTTCCACCCACTTAGCCTCTTCTGCACCTTTTCAGTCACTTTCCTGTACTTTTCAGACCTTTTTCATGGAAATGATATTTCTACACCAAGGTATCTTCTGATGTCCTCCACCTATCTAAATTGACTCCTTCTACATATCTCTCTCCTCATATGTTGCTTGACATTCTGAGAGAAGTAGATTTGTGTCTTTTCTAAGCTCACCTTATGTCCTAACATTTCGCCAAATTCCTGTAAACAATTAAGCACAATTTGCAATTGTTCAATGTTAGGTTCTGCAAAAAGAACAAGGTCGTCAGCAAACATCATATGAGATATCATTAGTCCTTTTCGACCCGATCTCATTCCTTTTCATTTTTTCTCTCTCACTCTATCAAGGATAATATGTGTGAGCTTTTCCATTCCAAGTACAAAGAGATAAGGGGAGATTGGATCACCTTGTCTTAGACCCCTCAAGGGATTAAATTCCTCGGTTTTTTCTCCATGCCACAGAATGCTTGTGCTAGTAGCAGTAACGCACTTTATGATTCTTTCCACAAATCTACTCGGCCACTTTAGTTCACCTAAGACTTGCTCCAATAAAACTCCAACTCATTCTGTCATAAGCTTTTTCAAGGTCTACCTTGATCACCATGAAACCTTTTTGCCCTTTCTTTTGCCTTGTGGAGTGTACAAGGTCTTGTACTATAATAATATTATCCTGTATATTTCTTCCAGGCACAAAGCTCACTTGACATGGGGACACAATGTTGCTCATCACCTCCCTCATTCTATGGACAATCATCTTTGAGATACACTTATAGAGCACATTACATAATAAAATTAGTCTCAAATGATTTACCCTCTCTGGTTGATCAATCTTTGGAATGAGCATGACCAATGTTTGGTTGATCTCTTGAATTCTTGCAGGGTTCTCCGAAAGTCTAAGAATAGAGTCACATATGCTGCTTTCCACAGTAGCCTAATTTCTTTGGAAAAACAGGGCAGGGAAACCATCATTGGCAGGTGCTTTTAGACTGCCAATAGAGAATATTGCGTTTTTCGCTTCCTCCGCAATGATGTCACTATTCAACCCATTTCTCTGATCTTCTGTGATACAAGGCCAGGAATGTGTTGTTTGGACCCAGTTTTGGTCTTCATTCTCCTCCATAAATAGATTTTGGAAATTTTCCTTTATGTATCTTCCTACCTCTTCTTTCCCTTCCATCCATTCCCCTTGATCATTTTTCAGCATAGAAACTCTTGACCGTCTTCTTATATTTGTTTTTGTATGGTAAAAACTCATGTTTCTATCACCATCTTGCAACCATTGTGTCCTCACTTTTTGAAACCACAAAAGTTCCTCTTGTTCCAAAACTTTCTCTAATTCACTCCTTAACTCATACTCTAGCTTTTCCAACCTAGAGATCCATCGTTCCTGCAGCTTTCTCTGAATTCCTTTAATTCTATTTAATAACTCCCTTTTCCTTCTTCCTATGTGCCCAAACACATTATTTTTCCAGTTCCTTAAATGATTCTCCATATCTGAAAGTGCTTCCCATGCCTCTCGGTCTCTCTTCCAGTTTCTCCTAATAGTTGGTACAAAATCCTCATGTGTACACCAGGTTGATTCAAATCGAAAGGGAAGCTTTCTTGGTTTCCCTCTTCGCAGTTCAATCTCAATTAAAAGGGGATGATTGTCTGATTCAATTCTAGGCCCAACTTTGATTGTTGCTTCATTGAATTCGATTCTCCACTTTGTATTACTCAGGGCCTGATCCAATCTTTTAAACAACCTCTTTGTAAATCCACACATGGGCCCTCGCTAGGTAAACCTTGGGCCCTCAGCGCCCAGGTCTACTAGATTGCATTTGTCAATATGTTCCCTAAATCTTTCACATTTCCTGAGGTTAACTTCACTTCCACCTTTTTGCTCCTCTGGCGACTTTATATCGTTAAAGTCTCTAGCCAAAAGCCACAGCTCATACATTGATAGTGCTATACTTGCTAACTAATCCCATAACTTCCTCCATTCCATTTCTCTCGGACTTGCATATATAGCCGTTAAAAACCATTTACTCCTACCAATCCCTCCAACCTGGCAATGTAAAAATTGCCTGTTCGCCTTCACCACCTATATCTAAATTTCTGGTGCATTCCACAGAATCCAAATACCTCCAGACATTTCTTGAGCTTCCTCCAGGATCTGGAACTTAAAGCCCAGTTTTTTAATAACTTTTTGGGCAGTCAAACCACTACATCTGGTCTCTACTAGCACCACAATTCTCAATCTAAATTTCTTCAAAATTTCTTTTAGAGCAATACTGAAGGCTTTTCCAACAACCCCCTCACATTCCAAACTAGAATCATTAAACAACTTAAAAGGAAGAAAAGGATCCTCGAGTAAGCAAACTCACCTCTGGGCCATATGGCCCTAAAGAACACCACTTGAATCACCTCCCACATTTTGCCTAGTTTTGTGGGTGCATACAATTTTCAACTTCTGAGAGTCCAAGGTATGTGTGCACCTCCCTTGGATCTGGTGGTTTACCATCCTCCTCTCCCATATATTCATCTTCCTGACCTGGTAAATGTTCCAGGAAATGTTCCATGATATGGGCTTCTATTTCCACCCCTTCCATTTCCTGTAGTCCAAATCTAACTTTACATCTCCTCTCTATCAGCCCATTCGGCGAGTTAGCATGTTTTTCCTCTTCCTTATTCCTCTCAAGTTCACTTGCCAGTTTCATAGTTTGGCCCATTAATTGCCCTTATTGCTCTCCTTTTCTGGGCCCATTTATTTCTACTTGGTTACTTTGTTTTTTCTCTATCTTCATCATCCCCCTTATGGTTTCCCTGTACTTCTCCGTCTTTTCTTTCTCTTTCCTCTCCATCAGTTTTTCTCCTCTGTCAGCATGTCTTTCCCCTACTTTTTTTGCCTTAGGAGTCACATTTTTCTTTTTTGGCTTGGTTACAATTTGTCCTTCCACCTCGTTTTGCCCACCATCATTAGAGATATCCTTGAGTGCTTCTCATTCTTCTATCCCCAATTCAATCTCTTTTTCCTTTTCCAACACATTTGCCAACACTACAAACCGCGATTCAGTAGACTTGCGCACATCACTTTTGTCGCCTTTTTTCTGACTATCTACTGACTTTCCTTCCTTCTATATGCTACATCTCCCTCTCCTTGAGTCTTGCACCAACATCTAGCCTCCATACATTGGTTCAGATTTCTTCATCCCGTTTTGGTTGCTTCCTCCATCTCTAGCAACCTATGCTCCTCCCTGGTTTCCATTAGCCTGAGTACATGCTTCGTGTGACCTTCTCGCAAAACAGTGTTCCAAGGCATGACCAAACTTCCCATAGCAAAAGCATATCAAGTTAAGTCCCTCGTATTCAATTTTTTGGTGGTTCCCATCAATGCAATATGCTAGGAGCAGAGGTTGGTTTAAGTCTACTTCAACACATATCCTTGCATACATTATTCTTGCTTTGGTTAGGGTTATTTCATCCACCTTTATCGCCTTCCCAATTTTGTTTATCATATTATAGAAGAATTTTTTGTCATAATAATCACCCAGTAAACCCGGCAACCTTACCCACACCACTATCGTCTAAATCTTTTCATTCCAGGGGTTGAAGTTGCTCTTCCATGTTTGAACCGTTAGATACTAGTTCGTGATCATCCAAGGTCCTCCTTCAAGAGCAAAGTAGTAATTATCCCATTCTTAGAACGTTGCCATCATGAAGCCATTCCCTATATCTGAGATGGAAACTGACCCAGACTTGCTCCACAAGAGCTACACCTTCCTTCTCATTTGCATGAAGCCAATCAGCTCCCCTAATAGCTTAATAATGAGAGATTTCTCCCATTTTTTTGCCATCCGTCTACACTCTTCTTCAGTGAACATAATCTTCAGTCCCGTTATAATATCTACCATGGATACCTCTTGTTTCAACTTATTATCATCTTCAAAAATGAGGCTTCTATCCCACCCTTCTACTTCTTTCTCTTTTCCTCTGTTTCCTATCTCCCCTGTCTTTGGTTTCAAAGCTTCTCTATATGACAGTGGCATTTGGGGCACCATTGTCGGCACTATCTCGTCGTCTTCCATCCAGTCTTCTCTACAGGGTACTAATGAGCTCTATCCTGTGAAGTTTCCTTCTGTTCTCCTTAGTTTTCCTCCAGACCCAGACCCATGAGTGGTCTCCTCCAAGGCTTCCCTTCTGCTTTCTATCTCATTTGGACTTGGAATGGTACTTGCTCTCCCATCTCCAACCACCGTCTCGGCCATAGGACGATCCGGCAAAATGTTTTTGGGGGGTGGTCTCAAGGTCACTCCTATGGAAGCTCATGGAATCTCTCTCTAGTTTCTCTCTCTTTCTAACGTTTTTGTTCTCTCTTTCTAACATTTTTGTTCTCTTTCTATCTCATCTGTGACTTACAGCTATCAGATAGTTTTTAACCAAATCAAACCACTCTCTCGAGTTCTTCTTTGTAAGTGGCTCTATAACTCTATCGTTATAAACACACGTCTCAGCCATGACTCAATCTGCAGTCGGAAACAGTGTGTTGAGATTTCAACTGTATTTCAAATCAAATATAGCAACGTTTTCATAATTAAAACATGGAAAAATTACACATAGGTCCCATACAAGACAATTAATTCATAAAAAGTCCCTGAAAATTCCAAAATGATTCCTAAGTCCTCGAGGACCTGTGTGTAATAAATTAATTATGAAATTACCTATTTATTGTAGTAATTTATTTACAACATCAATAGTGGCTGTTGATAACCCGAGGAGAAATGGTTAACAATCTCGGCAGTGCCCCTGACAACTCACTCTGTGAGATACCAGGGGCACTGCCGAGGTTGTTAACTACTTCTCCTTGGGTTGTCAACAGCCACTGTTAAGGTTGTAAATGAATGAGGGTAAAGAGGTAATTTCACAATTACAATTTATTACACACAGATTCCTGGGGACTTTGGAATTATTTTGAGATTTTAAGAGACTTTTTGTGAATTAATTATCTTGTATGGGACCTGAATGTAATTTTCACTTAAAACATAAGTTATTCTAACTTCCTATGTTTGTTTGCCTGGCGCCTTCATACTAAGCTGTCTCAGTTCAAAGTTGCTTTTGCCCGGAACTATCAAATCACCATTCCGTTGCATTTTAATGATTAAAATGAAGCCAAAAATACTACTTATCCGGTCCTAAATATAAGACCCTTGTATACTATCAAATCACCATTCCGTTGCATTTTAATGATTAAAATGAAGCCAAAAATACTACTCCTCCGGTTCTAAATATAAAACCCTTGTATCCTAAATATAAGACCCTTATAGTACAAGGGTCTTATATTTAGGACCGGAGGAGTATAAAAAGAACATATATGAAGTTCTTTTCGTACGTTATAACTTGTAAACAATCAATCCCTTCCCTACCATGCCCGGAATACGTGGGAACACACACACACACACACACAAGTAGCCATCAATTAATTGTAGGAGGCTCAGTGTTAGTCCAAATATAATTTTAAAAAAAACATATTTTATTTATATATTCGTGTGTTATGTTTAAAAAATAAGAAAAAAATGATTAAAAAAAGAGTCAAAAATTACTAAATTGTAAATTAGATTTGGTAGTTATTATTTATAAATATTAACGATTTTTATTAACATTTCATGTTGTATGTGATTTTCTAATTTCTTTTCTTTTTTTGCGTGTAATTCCTCCAAAAAAATAACTGGAATTTTTTTATAAAAACTTTAACGCTGAGAATATACAATGTTAATCCTTAATATATATGCGTGTCGAAACTCAGAACCATTCCACGATCAAAAGGCCCAAAAAAAGAAAAAAAAAAAGAAACTCAAAACCATTCATGTTGGATGGATGACAATTAGATATTTTCTTTTTTATAATTTTGCATATTTTTATCATATATATTTAATTTTTTTATGCGCAGAAATGTGGGGTATTTCTTTTTATTAGTTCGCCACAGCACTAACCCTACCAAGTTGGTGGGCTACCTGAATTAAAATTCTTAGATCTGAACGGGCTGTTTTTTTTTTTTTTTTTGGGGGGGGAGAATTAAAAGGAAGAAAAAAGTGGTCGTCCAAGTTCGTTTGTGTTGTGCTCTATGAATCTTATGACAATGGAGATGAAGTAGAAAAATAGGCAATGAAAAGAAGAGGAGAGGAAGAGAGAAGATGAGAGAAGAAGAAGATCCAAGATGAAAATAAGTAAAGAAAAGAAAAGAAAAATTAGAGTATAAACTGGAAAATAAAGGGAGAAGAAATGAATCAGAGATGGGAAAAGTGAAAAAGAGTAGATAGAAGAAGAAAGTTGAAAACCAAGTAAGAAAAGCTCTTACCTGAACCACGAAAGAAGACGATGACTTGCTCAAGCTTTCAGGCCTCCCAACTCCCAGCCACTGAAGAAATTGAAAATCCAATCCTGAACACAAGAATGAAGAAAGAAGAGGGTTGTAAATGGCCAAGGCATACCGACATACAGTACAATTTCCTTGGGCAGTTAAAAAAAATTTGAAAGTCAAGTTAATGAATGAGTGAATTCAGACTGTACTTCTCTTTCACACTTGATTATAATTTTATTTTATTTTTGTATTTGAATCACGAAATCGTTATTTATGATTGTATAACTACTCCTCCGGTCCTAATTATAAGACCCAATTGACTTATTTGAGGAGATTAAGGAAGTAAGTTAAGTTGGTTATTTATAATAAATAAGTGTTGTCATTCCTAAAATATCTTTGCTAATTAAGTATATTGGCTAAAACTATCATTATTAGAAGGATTATTTTGAAAAAAATACATAAATATAAGAGAAAAAATGGATTGGGGTCTTATAATTAGAACCAAATAAAAAGTCAAATGGGGTCTTATAATAAGGACCGGAGGATTTTTTTTTTTTTGGTCAGATATAATTGTATAACTATAAACTACATATTGATGGGTTAAAGTTTTTTTTGTTTAAATTAGTTAATATAAAATTGACAACTTTTGTATCAACATTATTGTTTCACTCAAAACTTTGTTCATTGTAGTGTTATTATATTAATACTTAGACTCATTATATATTTATTTTTACTTGTTATTATATACATACAGTAATTTTTCATCAAATTTTTTGCTTTAATTATTACCAGTTTAACTATAGGTTGATCCTAATATGATCCGCTAATCCTTAAATCACTGTTTCAATCAATTTATTGACCAGTGTGATTTTTAGCTTTTTTTTTTTTTTAACCATAGCCATACAACTTTATTCTAAATACTTTTTACAATATTGGCAATGGTTGTCATTTATTATTATAATAATTTCAACTACTCCCTTTTTTTCCTTGTGAATTGGGGGGGGGGGACGATTAAAAACATACATTAATTATACTTAAAATTGAGTAGTTTTTAATAATTAATTAGCCCGATAGCTTATATTAAGGAGTTGAGGGAGTATCAGCTTCTTTCTTTTTCTTTTTCTTTTTTTTTAACTTTTGGGTTAAAATGCATCTAGTATCTCACCTGCTCTTATCTACTAGTATGATTGATATGCCTTTCTGCTCTTACCTGCTCATCTAGTATATCTATCCACAATCAAGGCAAATGTGAATAGCTCTAATATCTACATCAGCACCTCTTTATTACAAAAATTGAACATATTACAACTGGATAACTCCTGATAACCGCCAATAAGCATGACAAAATAACCAAGATTTCATGAAAATCACACAGCCATCAAAGGCCTAATATCTCAACCCTTAGCTGTCTTGCACATTCACATGTATGCTATGCATTTGATGCTGTTTCAACAAACTGATAGCATAATTAGTGTTGTAGAAACAGATTTCATGAAGAATATAGAGCATCACTTAATGTATACCAAAAATCAATGCTGATCAGATTGATTAGTTACCTTTGCCCATGATGTTTTCATATTATTTGCCCCTCTGGTTAATTAAACTAGTTGTGCCAGAACTTGTCGGGCTATCTATAATACTGATTTTTCATTGTTTGTCCCACCCCAACCATGCTTCATTGGCATGATTACACACCATAATACCATATGCATTATGAAACATACTCGCGAAGCAAACCAGTTTTTCAGCATCCTACCAGGATTCGTCAAGCCAACTAGGAATTAAAGGAGGCATCATATTACAAGATAAGTAGAAACTAGAATAAAGATCTTCATGAGCTTACGTTATGGACAACTTCGAGCTGTGTTCACGTGCATTTGTGCATGCGTTAACTAATAGAAACTTAGTCTTCTAAGAATTGATGCATTTAAGCTTAAAAACACAAAAGGGTGGAATGAAGAAAATCTCCTGACAACAAAGTAGACAGAATCAGGCTTTGCTTGAATGGCAGTTTTTGTAAATCCAAGCTTATCAGCTGGCCACAGCTCATCCCCAAAGAAACTGCTAGTATACAGGACTTGGTCCCCTGCTCTCAACCCTGCTTTAGCTGCATTCCCACCACCATCCACACCCTAAAACAGACCATAAGTTTCCGTTAACAACCCAAGAAACTAATATATATATATATATATATATATATATATATTGGTCAGTTGGGCATCACAAGGAAGAAGCATTTGTTTCTCATGACCATATGTTTTCATTACTCAACAATGACTGTATTTTTTATATTTGTTTTAATCCAAGGACATTTGGCCAAGAGAAAAAAGAAATCTAAGGATACATGTGTCATTTTTATCTATCTTCCAATCCTCTTTTCATTTTCCTCCCTAACATTCGGCCTGCCAAAGGTGAGCATGTTTAAACTAAGCAGAATTCCAAAGGGCCAAAAGACAGGAGAGTTTTGAATTTTGAACCTAAATAAAAAAATTATCTAAACTAAATTTCTGTTCGCTGTTCTCCTATTCTCCACAATTTGAACATATGTTCTTGAAGACATTGATAAATTAAACACACACTCCTCTAACCAAATTAAAATTCCAAAGCAAAATAGCTTTCACATGCAGTAAGAATTCTAACAGAAATCATCAAAGCCCTGTACAAAACAACAGCGTCAAGCTTTCACAATGCTGTTTGCTGTACATAATAAACTGGGGGAAGAATACCTTTGAGGAAATAATTGAATCGGGACAATCTGATGGCGACATGCTACAGTAATCACCAAACTGGCTAAAATTTCCCATTAAAGGAAGAAAAGAAGAAAGTTACTCACGGTGATGACAACGCCGCCACCAGATTTCTGGCCCAGGGTGAGGCCAAGTGGCTTGTCGACCTCAACCTCAATCGTCTTCGCAGCCCCAGCAGCTCTAGCTGCTATTTCAAGCCCTCTTCTGGCAATGGCAGAACCTTTCGTGTTCTCAACCCCAAAGAAGGAATCGGAAACAAACCTTTTGTCTTCACGAAGTGAAAGGCCCTGGAAAGACGTTTTCTGGAGAAGAGAACCAAGAAAATCGTAAATTCAAATGGGCAACAAGAAAATAATGCCGCACAGAAAAAGTGAACAGAATGAATAATACCTGGGATTGAGATGAAGGATTAAGGAGAGACTTGGACTTGAAGTACTGAGGGAGCTGAGAATATTTTGCGGAGTGGTGGTTGGAAGAGGAATAGAAGGTGGCAGAGCATGAGGAAGAGGAAGCTGCTGCAACAACACCGGATATGGCTGATCTTGCGAGTGAGAGAGTTCAGAGTTGTGTGGATGAGAATCAAGTGAACCAATTTCCAAACGAACACTTGAGGGTAGCAAAATTTGAGGAAGGTTGTTCTTTTTTCCCTCGTGGTGGAAGATAATCTTTGATTGGTGGGGGAGGATGACGCCTCTGCGTGCCACACGCCTTCAACAACATACGGCCATCTAATTATTTTAATGGGAAAATTACAAACCAGGACCCTTACCCAGTTTTAATTTTTTTGACGGGCGTTGGGAAAAACACTTGGTGATTGGCTAAGGGGTGTTTGGAAATATATAAAAGTGTTTTTAAAAAATATTTTTTTTCATCAAATGAGATAAACTTCTTCATACATTTACTTTATATATTATAAAAATATTTTTAAAATAATGGTTTGATTTCCATCTAAACACTTTTTTAGTAGTTTTTTTTTCAATAACAAAAGAGGAACCCTCAAGACTAATTATCCAATATCCTCCCCTCAAGACTAATTATCCAATATCAAGGGAATTATTATAATCCTTCACCCTACCACCAAATATTAGTCTACTTAATGAGAAGTCATCTCATAACTTATAAAATCAAAAGTTCAAATCTTATTGTAACTATGAAAGTCTTGTTAAAGTTTGCTGAAATGTCATAAACGACATTAAATTAGGCATATAAATTCATAGGATAACACTTAACTAGATATTTGTATGGATAATTGAAAAAAAAAAAAAAAGGTTATCAAAATGTAACTATTTAGTCCCCCTGTTCTTTCCATTATATTTTGAGGGCATATTCTCTCTGTGTTTTTTTTCTATCCCCACAAAATCTAGCTTAATCCCATTTGGTGAGTTTGCCTCATCACTTTAACGTTGTTTATAAAGATTTTAACACCATTTACACCTCTAAAGACTAATGTAGGATACGGAATAAAGGAATATATCCTCCATTTCCACGTCATTTTACATGGGGAATTTTATTGGCTATTTCTCAAATATATTAAATGACAAATTAATCATTTGGTCTTTTAATTATTAACTCATCTGTAACTCAATTTCTCTGCCATGACTCGTTGTAATTCAATTTTTAAATTCCTACATGACAAAAAATATACTTTAACAATATTAAAAGTTGCAAACACGTCATCCGAGTCAGCTTATATGCATTTGATGAATTATTTTAAGGAAAAAAACAAGACTGTCTGGCCGACTCAACTCATCGTCCTCTCCTTCGTCCTCACCCTTTGATAACCATGTCCACTTCTTCACTGCCATTCTCTAATCTCTTCTTCCTCCACGGTTTTAGAGACAAGCATGCCCTATCTTCTTCCTTGTTTCATTTCTTCCTCCATATCCCTCCACACATTTCTCCTCCCAGTGATTCTCACATTAGCCTGCAACGCGCTCGAGTTTGAGTAACCCTCTGATTCAGGTGCATAACGTTGTGGGGTTGTGGCCAATTAAAATTTTTATATTTGCCACTGTGATTATAAAGGCCATTAAAAAAAAAACAGTTGCATCATCCTTCAACCTCCTCATATACATAGCGGGAGGACAAATGCGTGGAGGGGGTTATGAGGAGGAAGACAGAGCATGTGCCCCTCTGTGAGAAGAAAGGAGAGGACGATGTCGACCAGATGGTTTTTTTTTCTTTTTGGTAACAGACCAGATGGTTTTTTAATCGTGAAGTAAATTATATCCTAGCGTTATGAAACTTTTTAGAATTAAGTTAAAACACTGTTTTTTAAGATTCATTTTAACTCCAAGAATTGTTTCATCAGAGTAGAACTAACAACGATTGCTCTGATTTTTTTAGCAAGCAAAAAAAACATTGGTCAGGGTAGTGAAATATCATTTCGAAATTGATCATGCTAATGTCTTTCAGAATCATCTAAGCCAAATCAATGCGCAATATATCCAACGACATATGCCAATTAGAGAAAAGAAAACGGATGTTATGCAGGCAAAAGTGTAAATAGTTCTTCGAATTTGTTAATTAAACCTCTGGAGATGATTTTCTCATCTTTTTTTTTTAATCCTCTCCCTTTTAAGGGTGAAAATAGGCTAGGCCTCTATTAGGCGCTAGTCTAGCCTATTTATTAAAAAAGCTAGGCTAAGGTCTATTTAAAAGCCTTATTATATAAATAGGTTAGGCTTATTTTGTTAAAGCCTAGCCTGTATATAAACCTTCAGGCTTGGCCTGTTTAGGCATAAAGAATATAATTATATTTATAGATATATATATACACACACAGACTTTAAGCCTATTTGTAACATATATAAATATGTAGGCTTTGAAACCTTTCAAAAACCTATGTACATGTTGGTTTTAGTAGGCTCAAAGCCTACTTACAAACTTTAAGGCTTGCAATATGAGATTTTTTTAAAGATCTACATTGTAAGTAGGCCTTTAAAAAGGCTTTAGGCTTAATCAGGCCTTTGAGAGGCTCAGGGTTTAACTTTAAAAAAAAAAAAGCTTATATTCAGGCTCAAGTCTAGACTCAAGCTTTAGGTTACCATTATAAGCTCATGCCTATTTTACCAAAATCTGGCCTGGCCTGGTCTATTTCTATGCCTACTCTCCTGTCTTCTAGTGTGTGTGTATATATGTATAACTTGCAAGAAGCTTATATTATTCAATAGAAATATACAAGTCATAGGATAACAAACGCATGCACATACATACATTTGTCACAGTGGTAAATTCTAATGTATATAGTTAAATAAGATAGTCTAGAGAAATTAACACACATTTGTTATAAATAACTAATTGAACTAATTTATTTAATCTCTTCAAATTAATTATTTGGTTCTTATATTAATTAAGGACCAAAGGTAACATATTTTTCAACCACATTAACCAGCCTCAAATTAGATGCACCTATGCAACATTTGGAGAGGATTCTCTCATCTTCTTTTTTTATCCTCTTTCCTCTCCTCTTCCTTTCTATCAACATTTGAACGTGTATGTGTGTCTGTGTATAGATATATACATATATATATATATATATATGATCTGCAAGAAACATATGTTATTCAATATAAATATACAAGCAGTGGGATAATAACCGCATGCACATACATGCATTTCATGACCAAGGGTTTATTTTACATTTCTCTTGAAGATGCCTGGGCCATAAGTAGAATAAATCACATCAAGAAGAAGAGGAAATAGTAACAATGCAAAGAGGGTTACTGGGACACTAGCAATAATAAAACCAGGAAGATAAGACCATAACCGTGGGTATGTACGCTGGCCCATGAGAATGATGCATGAACAAAACGCTACTATCATGGCTAAAATGGACAAGAAGAGTGTAGAAAGGCCTATGATCAATTTTTTTGGTAAGGATATGAGGAAGTCTATTTCAGCATAACGTGAGGTAAAAATCCCTAAAAATGTTAGTACAGAAGTTGCTAAAAGAGCCAATGATAGTGCATCTGAGACCATGAAAAGTATAAATAACTTGGATTTCAAAAACACTGGCGAGCCAGTATTTTGATCATATCCTCCTGGAACAGTAAAAGCTGCTCCAAACATGACGGTGACAATCAAAGCAGCAACAACTGAACAAGAAGATGCTATATCCTTCATCCATTTTTCTCCTGCATCTCTTAAATCTTTGTGGGTTTCTATGAATATGTCTTTTGGTTGATCACCCCTCCTATTCTGAGATACCGTAAGTCCAGGAGGTACTAATCTTTCAACTTCCTGCATGCATTTATTTCATAAAAATAATTATATATGCATACATACGTGGATGTATTTATATATCTATATATATATATATATATATATATATATTCCAACCTTGAACCATTGCATTTCACTTTGCATCTGCAGAGCTGCACCATGGTGAAGTTGGCGGTTAGAAGGATCCAACTTGGCTGCAACATGCAGCATGCAAAATTTGTCGGTATCTACCAGTGGTGCTATTAAATTCTTGAAGCGATACTCGTGGATTAGGCTGAAAACCTCAGCTTGACGATATTGAATAGCATAGAAGAAAGTATTCCAATTTCTAGAGCCCAAAGTCAACAGGAGTAATTGGGGGTTTGTTTTTGATACTTCAGACAAAAAATCAACAAGCCCTCCTTTGGCCGCAAGGTAGAGTGCTTTTATAACCATTTCACGTTGTTGCTCATCCAAAAGAGGTACCCTCCGACAAAGTAGTTTCAGAATTTGAGATGCTCGTGCATGCTTCAACTTCAGCTCATATATTTTCTTCACTCCTATATGTACATTCACAACTCACGTGTAACTATCTCTTGGTTGTGTTTATGAGATTTATTTGATAACGTACAAATTAGATATGAGATTTCTTAGCATACGATATGATATACCTAACAAAGTGTAGACATTGGAGATGAACCAGTGCAGTAGACCATGCCCTGTTGCAAGCAAAGTGTTAAAAATTCACATTTTACTTCATTTTTAAATCATTTAAGAGAATTTGGAAGTAAGCTTGGGTTTGTTACGCACACACACACTCTCTCTCTCTCTAAGTGTACATACCTTGAATGCTTCTATCGTCACCTTCTTGTTGAATGACTACACAAACATTGTCGATTGCTGTGGTTGATGGTACATGTATAGCTTCCACCAAAAAAAGAAGACAACAGAAGCAAATTAAAAGAAAAATGAGAGTCATTAAAGGTAAAACGGAAAATGGATGGAAAGAAGCTCCCTTATTGACTTAGTTTAATAGTCTTTCCCATTTAAATATAGGAGAGGATGTTATAAGAGACATTAGAAAAATGCAGAATTAAAC